CACCACGCGCTCCCCGGTGGCGCCCCGCCGCTTCTTGCGCCTGCCCGGGCCCGGCACGACCGCCGGGGCCCGCTCCTCGCTCCCCGTGACCTGTCCCCCTACCCCAGGGGCCGACTCCCCTCCCGCGGCGGCCTGCTCCGCGCTTCCGGGGGGTCGCTCGTCCCTCGCGTCCCCGTTTTGCTGAGCCGGAGCCGTCAGCTCGCTCGCCGCCTCCGCCCCGGTGGAGAGCATTCCCGCCATCCGGCCTCCTCGGCCGCCCCAAGCCCCGGCAAGGCGGAGGCACGGGAGGTTCAAGCAGCCCTTCACCAGAACCCCGAGCCACCTGCAGCCGCCCCGCCTCATAGCCACGCGGGCGCCCCTCCTGGGTCGCGATCTGAAGACGTCACTCGGCACCAGCCAATCAGCGAGGCCCAGGGCGAGGCGGGACAGCGAAGGGAGGAAGTGAGTTGAATGACTTGAGTGGGGAGTTGAGAGGCTGTGAGGAAGGCTCACACAAAGCCTTGAGTTCATGTACATAATACACTCAAAAGTTCCTTGGGTATGGAAAAAGCTCCTGAAAGGAACATATGGAAAACAGGCAGACTTTGAAACAAAAGAGAGTGCTAAGTTCCGAATATGCTAGGGATATTTAAAAATTGTGTTGTATACTTTTAAAGAATCAAGCTCTTCCCAGCTTCCCTTGCATCTGCACATTGGTGCATCCTCTGGGCTCTGTCAGGCAAAGCCTTGGTACCTGAGGCACACATCCTGACTGACAAGATAGTATTGGAGGCATCTGATTTGGGGGGCTAGATTGGGGGAGGTCCTTGTGCCCAGTTCCCAGTCAGCAATGCCAGCTAAAGTGGCAGCGTGGTGTTCCTTCAACAGTTCCTCAGTGAGATTAGGACACTGCTCCTGGCTCCATAGACCCCAAGCCTTACTCTCTAGCCCACCTCAAAATTTCCTGACTACTTACTATCTTTTAATCCTGTGCTGTACAATAGAGTAGTCATTAGCTACCTGTGGGTATTTAAATTAATTAAATAAAACTTAAAATTTAGTTATTCAGTTGCACACAGTGCATTTCAAGAGCTCAATAGCCACCACATAAAGCCAGTGGCTACCATATTGGACAACTCAGATATAGAAACTTCTATTGAACAGAGCAACTTTAATCTATTCCTCTTACTGTTTAAACTGGCTAGAATGAGTTCTGTGGTTTGAACTAAGAACTCCAACAGGCCAAAACCGGTTTGGCTCAATGGATAGAGCGTCGGCTTGGGGACTGAAGGGACCCGGGTTTGATTCCGGTCAAGAGCATGTATCTTGGTTGTGGACATATCCTCAGTAGGGGGTGTGCAAGAAGCAGCTGATCGATGACTTTCTCATTGATGTTTCTAGTTCTCTATCTCTCTCCCTTCCTCTCGGTACAAAATCAATAATATATATATATTTTTAAAAAAGAACTCCAACTAACTTACTGTGATAAGGATTTAAGTAATTTAAGAGTAATGGGAAATTATCAAAGAGTTTTTTGGGAAGAGGTGGGTGACATGTTTTGGTCTCCATTTCAAAAGAATCACAGTGGTCACAACTTAAAGAAGAAAGAAAAGAGGGAGTCACAAGTTCTAGCTCCAGTTCAATGTGGTTCTTGACCATGGGGGTAAGTAAGATATTTAGGAATAAACTTAATCAAGGAGGTAAAAGACCTGTATTTGGGAAAACTACAGAATGTTGAAAAAATTGATAGAAGAAGATATAAACAAGTGGAAGAATAGGCTATGTTCATGTATTGGTAGGATTAACATAATTAAAATGTCCATTCTGGCCATGGAGTAGTGTTGTTTTTTTTTTTGTTGTTGTTTTTTTCCATGGAGTAGTTTGATGAAGCATCCATAAGCCTATGAGACTGCCCCATTCTGTGAATCAGGTGCTGCTAGACTCATGTTACATAGGATGGCCTCAGAATCCTTCCGTTCCCCCCATTCATTCCCTATAAATAAGCACTATCAAAATCTTGCTTGCTATAAGTTCCTTTTTTTGTAACCTTCTTGCTTTCTGCTTCCTTCTGTTTGCACATTCTAAGAATGGTTATAAATATGATCGAGTACCTTGAAGTTTCCTTTCACATATTGGTAGTTATTAACACCATAGCCACATTAATTTACTTTGGACATATCTAGACACTATATCATAAGCCAAGTTACTCTGTAAAAACTTCTACTGATGGTTTGCTAATGTCTTTCTGCACATCCTTTTAGGAGTAACCAACTCTGGAAATTGGGGCTGTAGAGGCGAGGAAGAGTTGCATCTGAGCCTACTGATAATCCCTAAAAGATATCAAAGGTCACTTCCTTTTATTTTATTTTTTTAATATATTTTATTGATTTTTTTACAGAGAGAAAGAGAGAGGGATAGAGTTAGAAACATCGATGAGAGAGAAACATCAATCAGCTGCCTCCTGCACACCCCCTACAGGGGATGTGCCCGCAACCAAGTTACATGCCCTTTACCGGAATCAAACCTGGGACCCTCCAGTCCGCAAGCCAAACCAGTCTCAGTGGGGTCACTTCCTTTTAAAAAGTGTTTCTGGTTCTAGCCGGTTGGGCTCACTGGATAGAGCGTCTGTCTGGGACTGAAGGGTCCTAGGTTTGGTTTCTGTCAAGGGCATGTACCTTGGGTGCAGGCACATCCCCAGTGTGACATGTGCAGAAACATCTCTCTCATCAATGTTTCTAACTATCCCTTTCCCTTTCTCTCTGTAAAAAATAAAAAAAATATTTTTTTTTAAAAGGGGGGGAAAGTGTTTCTGACACTCATCTCCCAAGACCACTCTGTCCATTATGTGCTCTGCTACACTTCTGTGATATCCTCTTTAACTATTGTTATTTGTAAAGTTGTCTGCCCCCCAACGCACCCTCTTACACTAAAAGCTGTGAAGGCCTCAGAGACCCATACTGAGTCTGTCTGTCTTGAATTCCCGCTTCACACAATGCTTAGGGCACAGCAGGAGTTTGGCTATTGACTAAATGAATGAGGAAAAGCTTCATAACATGAATGGGACAGGGGTCTCCGGTGAGGGGCGAAGTCTCCTCCTACCCCATTAAAGCCCCTTAAGTGCTCCAACTCGGGTAGCGAAGGGCTGACATTTGTGGAGACCAACGCCGCCGGCCCAGACAACTGCTGAAGAGGTGAACTTGCTCAGGGAACCAAGCCAAGCCAAAGGCCTCGAAAACTGGGCTTCCTCATCCCAGCAGGGGCCGGGTGGAGGGCACAGCCCGCGCGGCTGGAACTCCCGGGAAGAAGTGGAATCCATCCAGCTTCAGGGAAAAGCAGGCGCCCGGGGTACTTGGATCCACCGTTGCCTGGCAACAGCAGGCTCGCCCACCGCTTCCTCGCTCTCAGCTGCTCACTTCCTTATCCACTCGACCAATCCACGCACAGGACATCGCCAGGCCGGCGGTGATTGGAGGACTGTCAGGATCCGTCACTCGGAGGCTCCGCCCACCACTTCTTCCGGCTGCCGCAGACCGGGCTGAGCGGAGGGTTTGCGGGCTGCGGGGCAGGCTGCTGCGGTAGGTGAGGAGTGGCGGGGGGGCCCACAACATTTTGTACCCGCGGTTCCGGCCTCATCCTGAATACCGCGGGGAGGCCTCGGAGCCTGACTCATCTCGCCCAGTCCGTCCTGGAGGCCAGAGTGACGGAGGCCCGAATGGCCACCCAACTTCCCTGCGCTGTCCTGGACTTCCTAGGAGGGGAGGGGGGCCGGGCTCCGGGGTGAGAAAATGTTTGGTTTGGGTGCGTTTTTCCGATTTGGGGATGGGGGTGGGGGTTCATTGTGCCCCCTGGCATTAATTCATTTAGGGCTGCCGTGACGTACCTGACCCGTTTACTTCTGAGCCTTTGCGCTCGTTGGGCTCTCCTAGAATTGGGATTATTCAAACCTTTCTGTTGGCAGCCTTCCTAATCTCAAAGGCCCATCCTGTAAGAGACTAGGTAGTTATGAAAGCCTCCAGGTGCTGTGTGAAGCCCTCCACCTACCTACCTCTGCTAGGGCTACTTTCCCAAGCAGGCAGAATAATATCTGGTAAAAGTATGGATTTTTGGAGCGGCACTGGTCGGGTTTCCAATCAAGGATTCACCATATATCAGTAATTACCCTTCTAGTCCTCAGATCCTGGAGATTCTTCATCTGAAAAATGATGAAAATGTCTACTAGTGTTTCTATTAAAATAAGAACACAAGCCCAACTTCTACCTATAATGAGTGAATGGGCCTTTGCATTTGATACAGCTCTCTGAGAGACACTTCACCAAGCAGGAGCTGTGTATATGGAACTTTGCAAGACCTTTAGGGCCTTATTGACAACGGGGTTTAATTAACTGAGGGCAGAATTGTTGAATTTGGGAGCTTTTTGGAGAAAAGTGCAAGCTGATTGTCTTCACTGGAAATGCCATGAAATATGCACGCACCTGTGGTATGTGTGTGTTTAAAAACAAAAGTAAAATTTGCCGTTTTAACCATTTTTAGATATATAGTTCAGAGGCATTCACATTGTTATGCAACTGTCACCACCACCACCCATCTCTAGAACTTCCCAAACTGAAACTCTGTACCCATTAAACAATAACTCCCATTCCCCCATTCCAAAAAACCCCTGGCAACCACTGTTCAGTTTTCTGTCTATGAATTTGACTGCACTAGGCACCTTCTGTAAGTGGCATCATCCAGTATTTATCCTTTTGTATCTGGCTTGTAGAAATTCCATTTCTGAAGACAAATTTCATTGTGAAAACAACTTGGGTGCAGAGCCAGAAGAGGAACCCAATTACCTTTTTGCTATCTTCTTATCTCTAACACAGAAACCTAATAGAAGAAATTTTAAATTTTGTTAAAGTTCTTAAAAGCCTATTTATTACCTTTAATGGGTAAACATACATCTGAATACTACATGCTTATAGTGTATCCTTAAAGCCAGTCCTTGCTCACTTGAGCTTCTGTTTTTTCAGCTCAAATTCCAAATGAAAATGTTTGAAAGCATTGACTCTACGGCTACAAAATCTGGCCCGGACCTTTGGGCTGAAATATGTTCCTGTCTGCCAAGCCCTGACCAAGAGGATGATGCCAAGAATGCCTTCTCAGACTCCTTTATGGATTCTTATCCTGCAAGCACAGGCCAGAGGGAGGCCCCAGACTTTGCTGCTCAGCCAGCTATAAAGCCTTGGGCTCCCTTGCAGGATTCAGAAGTGTATTTAGCATCTTTAGGTAAGTTAGATGGCTTAAAAAACAAAACAAAAACCATGGCTTTAAAGATACTTGTTGAAGTTCCTCTACCTTAAACTTGGTTTTCTGTTCTTTTTGTCAATTCTCACCCAAGGATATTTCTTCCATTGATTTTTAGAGAGAGGGGAAGGGAGGGAGAGATCAGGAGAGAAACATTGATGTGAGAGACACATCAATTGGTTGCCTCCCACACAAGCTCCAACTGGGCCTGGGGATCCAACCTGCAACCCAGGTATATGCCCTTGACTGAGAATCTAGTCAAAACCCTTCATTGCACAGCTGAAACCCGTTTGGCTCAGTGGTAGAGCGTCGGTCTGCGGACTGAAAGGTCCCAGGTTCGATTCCGGTCAGGCTGTGTACCTTGGTTGCGGGCACATCCCCGGTAGGGGGTGTGCAAGAGGCAGCTGGCCGACGTTTCTCTCTCATTGACGTTTCTAGCTCTCTATCTCTCTCCCTTCCTCTCTGTAAAAAAGCAATAAAATATATATTTAAAAAAAAAAAAAATCCTTCAGTGCACAGGCTGCCAATCTAACCATTGAGCAACATTAGCCAGGGTGGTTTTCTGTTCTTAAAAAAATTTCTTTTTGTCCTCACCGCATATATCTGTCAGGTGTAAGTGTAGGGGTTGTTTCAGGTTGGTTGTGGGAAGGACCCCATTTTCCTTGTAATAGGGATTAAAATGGTCTTTGCAAACTCTTACCTCTGTTATATCTAAATTCTGCTTTATGCACTGGCTGGTTTGGCTCAGTGAATAGTTGGCCTGCGGACTGAAGAGTCCCAGGTTTGATTCCAATCAAGGGCGCATACCTGGTTGCAGGCTTAATCCCCAATAGGGGGCATGCAGGAGGCAGCCTATCGATTATCTCTCATCATCCATGTTTCTTTTTCTTCCTCTTTCTTCATCTCTGAAATCAATAAAAAAATTTTTTTTAAATAAATTCTGCTTTATTTCTTGGCATTTTGTAGACCCTCTTGCCTACTATTGGTGGCTCATATATTCAAATTACTAAAAAACATCAAATCTTATGCTTTTCTAAAAGGAAAGGTCAGAGCTACATGTGGATTGAGGGATGCTACAGTTTGAAAATCTGTTATGGTAGATAGATTGATTGTTGGAATGGGAACATATTGACATAAAATTCATTCTGCCTCTTGTTAGCTATTTCATTTTTTTAATATTTCCTGAACATATCTTTACTATCCTGTCATATAGCCTTAAGTGTAAGTATTTAGAAAGACTAAATACACAAGAAAGAGATTCAGATTGTTCCATGCTAGGGGAAAGAAAAATATCAGTCAAGGGTAGTAATCACCATGCTTTAAAATTGTAGTGTACTTTTATTATTAAACATACATGAGACCCATCTACGTGTCACAAAACCAAACCTAGGAATAATTGTTTAAGGAAGGAAAGGCAATTCAGGAAGAAGAAGCTTTTAAGGAAGGCTAGAGAGAAGAGTCGGAATAGAGTTTACATAATTGCTGAGAAATACTTTGGAAAAACAAGGAATTTTGTTAACTGTGTACTGGAGGAAAAGATATGAGAAAAACAGGTGGAATGATGGATAATGAGAAAGATGAGGGTATAATGTCAGAGTCTCAGAAAGCCACCAAAGATAGGCTCTGACATGGCTGAGTAGGTTGGCAGTTCTGTTTTGTGGTAGTCAGAACATCTGTTTAATGATGATAAGGAGAAGAAGCAACATTCTGAGAAAACTAAAAAACCAGATCCTTTGGCCTGTTGGTGCTCTGTGCCCAAGGGTTATAAGAAACTTTCATGGGTTACAGACATGGTGGCTGTTAGGATGGGCAAGCTGACAACTATACCTGCAAGTCTGATGTTTGCATTTATATGTGTGCATGCAGCCAGAGGAGAGGAATCCAAAAAGGAGCTAGTGAAACCACCGCTCCAGTCTTAAGAGCAGCCTGGTAACTGACAAGTGGGCTTTGGCGCCATCCACACTGCAGCTGGTCCTGACATTGGCTGGTGCAGGGGTGTTTATGTCCTTGTGGAAAATGGGATAACGGATACAGTACAATTTGGAAAAGAGGCATATGTTTATCTGAAGAATCCACCACGGAATTTTCTTCTGAAAACTGGTCTATTTGGTTTCAGGATTGGCAAGCTGGGTTTCAGCAAGAAAATGTTCTAGATTTAAGAAAATTGGTTCTCCACTGGGACTGGCCCTTTTAGGAACAACTGTTAATGTCCAGTTCAGTCCATAACAATTGCAAAGGAAACTAGAAAAAAGGCATACTGTACCAGCCAGAAAGTTTGTAAGCAGGTACATCGTTATGGTAAAAAAAAAAACAAAGACACCAAAAAAGAATCACTTCCTGAACCTAAAGAAAAAGCAAAGCTAGGACGCTCTACTGAAATAGGATTACCTGCAAAACAACTCACGACTTGAAACACTCAGTTTCTTTGCCAACAGAACTCAGCTCTGAAACGAAGACCAAATCAGAATTCACCTCAGGTGCTACACAGTTTATGCCTGAAGTGGATCACAAGCAGTCCCATCCTGAAGGTGTAGATATATATGTACAGCAGTAGAAGCTGAAATAGACTAATAGAGAACTAAGATATGTGAGGTTCCAAATAATGACAAAAAGATCATGTAATGAGTAACTGTGACACATGGAGTATAACTTAAAGCAAGTTTATCCTTTAGATCTTCTAATGTATAGTTTGGCTAATCATATAAGTGTTTAAAACACACACAGCAAACACAATCCAAGTACTATTAAGTGATTGGTGAAGAGGCAGTAGTGTTAGGATGCATTTGATGACTTTCAAGTGTGTTTATAAAAACAACAAAAAATAGAGTGAATATGTGAACACTTATGAGACTAAAATTTGAAGAAACATGTATGTGTATATAAATACACATATACACTAGGTATATGTGCTTTCGCTTTTTGTAATTAACGTCAGCTAAATTAGAATGGTGTATGGAAGGATGTGTTTTTTATTTCCCAGAGCTGGAATAAAATATCCATAGTTTATGACAAAATAAAAGAAGCTTTCATAGATTCAGTGATAATTTTGATTGGTTCAGAAAGTTAAAATTCCCTTGATATTTTCTAAAATCAGATAAGATGATGATTAAAATTTCCTTCTCTGAGGAAAATAAGAACCATTTCTGGCTCCTATGGCAGAGTTTGGGGGACAATAGCAGGCAGGTTTGGAGTATGAAATGGCACCTGCTTCTGCCTGCCCAACTTAGATCACCCCTGGTCATGGACTCAGCACACTCAGAGAGAGGGAGACCTTTTCCAGCCCAAAAGAGCACCTTCCACCTTGACAGCTAAGGCCAGACAAAATAAAGATTGTTTTTATTGCCAAATAAACTGTATCAAAGATAATTCACTAAAATCACCGATTAAAACCTTAGTCAGTTCAACAAAAGATATACATAATTCTTTTCATATCCTCAAGGAGAAAAAAATTCCTCAAATATTTTACAGGTGTTTTATATGGGTGAGCTCTTGGAGGTAACTTGCATCAACAGAAGGTACTTATTGTTTTGATCAGAAGGTGCTAGCTGATGTGGCTTATCTATAATAATAAAAGGATAATATGCTAATTAGACCGAATGTCTTTCTGGAGGTCATTCTGGACGTCCTTCCTGATGAAGCCGGGCCAGCAGGAAGCCAGCCCAGGTCCCAGGTGCCTGCCGGTGGCCAGAGGTGGGAAGCCCAGGTCCCAGATGCTGGAGGGAAGCTGGTGCCGGCAGTTGGGGGAAGGAAGGCCTACTCTTGCACAAATTTTCATACATCGGGTCTCTAGTTTAGAAATGAAAACAGGATTGTAAATCATAAAGTTTCCATTGGTTCTAGGCTTGATGTTCACCATCTCTAAAAGCTATCATTTACCCATTTATTATAGTTGAAGGCAAGACTAAACAAAGGCAGAAGGTACATGGTGATACCCTCTCTTGTAATCTTCAAAAGGGGTTATCTGTTCTCAACAGTTACAATTAAAATGCAAATAAAAGTAATTAAACATCTATCATCAGGAAGCCATATGGACCACTCTCAAAGAGATTATAAGATGTTTGTTTTAATTAGGCTCCAACAGCCAGGCCCAAAGTTGAGAAACATTAAAAAATATTGGGAGATTGCTTCTCTTTAATTAAGAATTTAATCACATGCCGAAACCGGTTTGGCTCAATGGATAGAGCGTCGGCTTGGGGACTGAAGGGTCCCGGGTTCAATTCTGGTCAGGGGCATGTACCTTGGTTGCGGGCATATCCCTAGTGGGGGGTGTGCAAGAGGCCACTGATCGATGACTCTCTCTCATCAGTGCTTCTAACTCTCTCTCTTCCTCTCTGTACAAAATCAATAAAATATATTTTTTTTAAAAAGAATTTAATCACACAGAAATCTTACAAGTCTCTTATTGAGTTCTTTTAAAAATATATATATATATATATATTATTGATTTCTAACAGAGAGGAAGGGAGAGTGATAGAGAGCTAGAAACATCAATTAGCTGCCTCTTGCACATCTCCCACCGGGGATGTGCCCACCAGCAAGATACATGTCCTTGACCAGAACCAAACCTGGGACCTTTCAATCCACAGGCCGAAGCTCTATTCACTGAGCCAAACCAGCCAGGGCTCTTATTGAGTTCTTATCAAGTCAATTTTAATGTCTAATGAACCACTGGATTTCTCTAAATCTTTCTCATGAGGTTTGGCAACCACTTTATGTCACTGTAACAGAAAGAAAAACCATTTACTCCTCAGAGAGACTATTTTCAAGGAGTTAAAAAAAGATGAGAGTATACACATGTCAAGCCAGGGAAAACAAGCATTCCATAGAGAGATACCTGCTGGGCTTCCGTGACTTCAAAGAAAACATGCCATCAATTTGTTATGAGAACCTATGGTTTTTCCCTTTTCTGGGGTTAAACATTTATTTGGTGCAATGTGGAGTGAAAACATTGTGCAGGAAAAGGAAAATTGTACATTTCTCTTTATCTGCCCTCCTTAAAATAGTAGGGTGTGTTGGGTTTTTTTGTTGTTGTTTTTTTGTAGAGAGTGTACATGTACTCATCAGTCAGAGAATTTTTGAAGTTGGCGTTTGCATTTAAAATTTAGTTTCATTTCATATTCACTTTCCTGGTTAAGCTCCATTACTTCTCTCTTTAGAGAATAAACTGAGAAGAATCAAAGGTTTAAATCAGGAAGTGACCTCTAAGGACATGCTTCGAACCCTGGCCCAAGCCAAGAAGGAATGCTGGGATCGGTTCCTCCAGGAAAAGTTAGCATCCGAGTTCTTCGTGGATGGACTTGATTCTGATGAGAGGTGAGCGATTCCCAGGCCAGTTCTAGGTGACAGTCCATTTTATTGTGCACATTTCTTTTTTTATTTTATTTTAAAAATAGTTTATTGATTTCTTAGAGGAAGGGAGAGGGATAGGGAGCTAGAAACATCGATGAGAGAGGAATATCAATCAGCTGCCTCCTGCACACCTCACCCTGGGGATGTGCCCACAACCAAGGTACATGCCCTTGACTGGAATCGAACCTGGGACCCTTCAGTCTGCAGGCCGACGCTCTATCCACTGAGCCAAACCAGTTAGGGCTGTGCACATTTCTTTTTCTCTGAAAAATCCAGGGAGAGTGACACGTGAGTTGAGATATTAGTTGATATCAACATCAGCGTCTGAGTTAAAATCATCCTTTGTCAGTTTGCTCTCTTTGCTCTTAGTACAGCAGCAGATTTTTGAGAAAGGATATTTTTGTCAAAAGGCAAATACTCCAGCCACATCTTGCTCACAGATTGGATATAGTTGAAGATAAATCATTGCCTTCTTTTTTTAAATAAATTTTTTTATCCTCACCCTAAGATATATTTTTTATTGATTATCAGAGAGAGAGAGAGGAAGGAAGAGAGAGAGAGAAACAATCAGTTGCCTCCCATACATGCTCCAACTAGGAATTAAACCCACAACCTAAGTATGTGCCTTGATCTGGAATCAACCTGCAACCTTTTTGATGAGGAGGATGATGCTCCAACCAACTGAGCCACCTGGCCAGTGGCCAGCCCCATGGTCTGCATTTTTAAGTGCAAGTACATAAAACATTTGAGAGAGTAGTAATCAATCAACAACTGGAGCTATGTCTTCTCACTTCCAAATCTCTGTTGCTTTACAGAGTCTCTGTCATATTGTAGCCACTCAAATGGGTGTAGAATAAATGAATGATTTTCTTAAGCATCTACTGAGTGAAGGCACTGTGCCTGGTGTCTTGGGGCTGGGGTGTAAGGAAGTTTAACACCCTCTTTTTTTGTCCCTGTAACTAGTTAGGAAGAGATGACAAGTAGGTATAAAGATGTATCTAATAATATGAGGGAGGCAGCATGAGGGAAGAGCCAGATGAGAAGAAGTGATGGAACATGCTTTAGGAGTTGAGAGACCATTGAACTCCCTTTGGGCTCTGGTGTTTGTGACAAGTACCTGCAGGTGGGCCAGATGCCGAAAGGAGAGAGTGCATTCTGCCACAAAGCAGGAAATGCTTGACAGTGGGAAAATGGCTCTGCCACTTAGTGGTTGTATGTTCTTGGGTAGGAAAGCTGTATGTGCCTCAGTTTCCTCTTCTGTAAAGCAGAGGAAACCTCATAAGGTTATTGTTAAGGTTTAACGAGTTACTGTGTGTAAAGTTCTTAGAACAGTGCCTGACACATGGTAAGTGCTAATAAATGTTAGCTATTTATATATATAAAGCCTAAGCAAACGAACAACTGGTGAACTGGTTGCTGTGATGTGCACTGACCACCAGGGGGCAGACACTCAACACAGGAGCTGCCCCCTGGTGGTTAGTACACTCCCACAGCCAACCTCCCATGGCCGGCCAATCTCCTATGGCTGACCAAACTCCCGATGTCCCTCCCTCTGACCACCAACAACCTCCCATGGTCCCTCCCCCTGGTCAGCTGGACGCCCCGCCCCCCATCAGCTGCAATCACAGGCCAGGCGGAGGGACCCCACCTGTTCACAAGTTCATGCACTGGGCCTTTACTTGTTAATATTATTCTTCCTAACATAGTTTTATTTATTTTTAAAGACTAATTTATTGATTTTTACTTATTTATTTTTCTCATTTAAAAAAAGATTTTATTGATTTTTTACAGAGAGGAAGGGAGAGAGCTAGTTAGAAATATTGAATAGAGAGAAACATTGATCAGCTGCTTCCTGCACCCCCCCCCCCCCCCCCGGGGATGTGCCCACAACCAAGGTACATGCCCTTGACTGATACCGAACTTGGGACCCCCTCAGTCTGCAGGCTGACGCTCCATCCACTGAGCCAAACCAGCTAGGGCAGTTTATTGATTTTTAGAGAAAGAGGGAAAGAGAGGGAGAGAGAAGCATCGATGGATGTGAGAGCACAGGATGGATCAGCCGCATCCTGCACGCCCCCTTATTGTGATTGAGCCCACAACTGGGGCATGTGCCCTCGACCAGGAATTGAACCAGCGATCCTTGGCACACGGGGCGATGTCCAACCAGTAGAGCCACACCGGCCAGCGTGCTAATAGAATTTTAAAGTTCAGTAACAACTTATTCAAAATAAGATCATTGAGGGGAGTAACAACCTTAACTTTAAGGGGAATACGACTCAATCTTTAACATTGATTTTGAGAGTCCCATTGTGTCAGATGACAATATTGCTGCTGAAGTTGTGGGCAATACGTGAATAAAACTTCATACATTTTGTTTTTTAATTTGCAAAGTACCTTCACTTACATTATCGTAAATACCAAGACAGCATCCCCTGAGACACTTCAGAAATGGGTGTGGTATCTAAGGTCAGGCCAGGTACCTTCTCAGGTTCAGAAAAATAACACAGATTTTGCTCTTTTCTGTATCTAAAGGCTCAATCCAATTGAGCTTTAAACTGCCCCAATTACAGAAGACTTGAAGATACACAGATTCCTGACTCACTAATAATTTGGTGTTTTCTCTCCCCTTGAATATTCCTCCTTTCCAACTCTCAGAAGGAAAGATAAAACTTTCTCCTGCCTAATTCCCAACTAAGAATTCTTTTGTGAAATCAGATCAGCACCAAGGCTCCTTAATATTTCTGTGTATTAATATTTATCAATAGCTAAGATAATGTGGTTTTCCTTTCTCTAAAGAAATAATTGAGCCCGGCTGGCATGGCTCAGTGGTTGAAGGTCGGCCAGGAGGTCACGGTTCGATTCCCGGTCAGGGCATATGCCTGGTTTGTGGGCTTAATCTCCAATAGGGGGTGTGCAGGAGGTGACCAATCAATGATTCTCTCTCATCATTAATGTTTCTAGCTCTCTCTTCCTCTCCTTTCCTCTCTGAAATCAATAAAAATATATTTTAAAAAATAAATAATTGAGTAATTCTATGAAAAGTGTGGTAGGTGAAGATTAAATGCCTGTGCAGCATCTGAGTCCCCTGAGCTGGGCTGTTACTCTCCCAAGCCTACATCGGTGGGAAAACTTCTATCATTGTTCAGAGCAAGCACCAGGAAACAGTATATATGCATTTGTTTTCAAACTTCAAAGTTTATGTTTTAAACAGAGGCCATTTTGTAGGGGATTGTGTGGTCCTTCACCTACAGGAAGGCCACCCTCTTCATGCTTTTGGCAGGGGAGTCATGGCTGAGCAATCCAACTGTGCACAGCATGAATCCCCATCCCTGACAGATGTCTTAAATCTGCTGGTCATGGCTTTATTTCTTGGCTTACTAGTAAGACTGTGCTATTGAAGAGCATAGACTGTGGCTAACGTTATTTCTGGTCATTTATATTTTACTGTGGATGTCTAATGGCTAAGAGGAGAATCCTCTGTACTTAAAGAAGGTGGGAGGAGACCACTTCTCCCTTCCTCACAGATCCAAACCAAAAAGGGCCTCTGGTATGGTGGTCATTCCTTTATGGGGGACATTGCTGTTCTAGTGTTTTTATCTTGGGGACTTGCTATTGGGCAGTGCTCGGCAAACTCATTAGTCAGCAGAGCCAAATATCAACAGTACGATCAAAATTTCTTTGGAGAGCCAAATTTTTAAAACTTAAACTTCTTGCTGAAACCGGTTTGGCTCAGTGGATGGAGCATCAGCTTGGGGACTGAAGGGTCCCGGGTTCGACCTTGGTTGCGGGCATATCCCCAGTAGGGGGTGTGCAAGAGGCAGCTGATCGATGACTCTCTTTCATTGATGTTTCTAATTCTCTATCTCTCTCCCTTCCTCTCTGTACAAAATCAATAAAATATATTAAAAAAAAAAAAAACCCAAAAAACCACTTAAACTTCTTCTAATGCCACTTCTTCAAAATAGACTGGCCCAGGCCGTGGTATTTTGTGGAAGAGTCACACTCAAGGGGCCAAAGAACTGCATGTGGCTCGTGAGCTGCAGTTTGCCGATCACTGCTATAGGGTGAACTAAACAAACAAAAAGCCCATAAACAAAATTGCTCTCAGTGCAACTAAGCATAATTGAGTCTCAGACTATCTCAGGTATGACATTTCAAGTTGCTCAGGTTTTTGCCTAATAATTTGGTATTTATTGGAATGTTTTCTCTCCTTGACAGTTTCTCTCCTCTTTTTTTTGGGGGGGGGGGGAGGGAGGTGGGGAGGGAAAGACAGGACTGAGGCATTAGTTCTTCAGCTGTTCTCATCAAGCCTTCAGAGGCTCTGCATTCCAAGGGGGTCTGATGCTGCTTATAGCCAAGTGCCCACCAGGAGGTAAATTATGCCTGGGAGCTGCCAGGATGCACAGCTGGCAGAGGAGCATCCGTGAAAAACAATTGTAGGAAGAAATTGGTTGTGGGTGGGAAGGCAGTATTTGAGTAACTGAGATAATCATTAAGTAATTAATCATCCAGGTCTGATGCAATCACTCTTTTCTCTTGCTCTTTTCTAGCACCTTGGAACATTTCAAGAGGTGGCTCCAGCCAGATAAGGTGGCCATCAGCACAGAGGAGGTCCAGTATCTGATTCCTCCGGAGTCACAGGTGGAGAAGCCAGTGGCTGGGGATGAGCCAGCGGCAGCGGAACAATAAATTACACACACATATAGACAGACAGACAGACAGACACAGATAGACAACTAGACACACGCATGCATGCACGCATGCACGCATGCACGCTTGCGTGGAGCAGCTGTCTGGAGTCCAGAGGGCAGTGGGAAGCTCAGCGGCAGCATCAGCAAGAAGACTGGAGGGGCAGAACCCAACTCTCCCCTCCACAGAGCAAACAATTGTGGCTACCTGAGGCCTTGCTTGGGGCTGGAGTGTGTGTGTGTCTTGGATGAAGTGACTGTCCCAGTGCATGCTGGATCAAAATACCAGTTTCCTTCCTGTATGTCTCACAGCTTGCTCCAGCTCTGGTGGCGCGGCAGAGAAGTCTACTGAGAATCTACTGAGAATCTAGTGAAGGACCCAGGGGTAAATGTGTGTGGAGCAGCTGATGCCCTTGTGTATGATGTTTAAGTTAAGTGAGCCATATTTATCTTTGCCTCTTCTGGATTTTCCTACCTGTGTCCCAAGCACTCCCTGGGCAACTTGTCAGGGGTGAGTGGGACCAAGGAAAGTGAAGTCTGCCTCCTCAAATCCAAGCCCCATTTGGGGCTTCGCTAAGTCTGCAATAAATATGAGGACTTTAGCAAAAGAGCCTGTGCTTTTTCTTTGTCCAATTTGTTTCTTGTGGGGAAAATGGACAAAAGAAATGTGAAAAGGTGTGTGTGTGTGTGTGTGTGTGTATTTTTAAATTTCATGAGTGGTTTCTCCCCTAATTTCCTCCTGCACTTATAAAAGACTAAGTTCCAAATTAGACTTGCAAATATGGTTTTGGTATTTGACACCACTGCTTGAATGTTCCCTGCTTGCTACTAGTAGCAGCTTTTTTGGACGAGCCTGTGCTTCCCTCCTTCTTTATGGTGCTCTTTTCAGATGGTGTTGTCCATATAAACCTTTTATCATCAGAAGAGCTGTCTGTGTGGTCAATTGGCCTGATTCCTCCGGAGAGATGCTGCCAGGCAGCGGGGAGGTAAAAATAAAAGCATGGCAATGCAGGTGAGCTGGTAACATGTCAGCCCTCCGTGTTTAACACGTGTCCTCTGATAGGCCCCACCTCGGTGCTCTGAGGGGTACATTTCTGAGGCCGCAGGTCCATGCAGCTTCTTCCTGGATAACAAGTTCCTAGTCCCTAATGATGAGCAGGGTGGCCATACAAATCTTCAGAGAACATTTGCTTTTTTTAAATTTTTAATTGAATTTATTGAGGTGACTTTGGTCCACAAACCATACAGGTTCCAAGTATACAACTCAATCAAACATTATCTGCACACTGCATCATGCACCCATCACCCAAAGTAAAGTCTCTTGCCATCCCCATTTATCCTCCCTTTGCCCACCTCCACTTACCCCTACGTTCTTCCCCCTCCGGCTATCAGCACACTGGTGGGTGTGTTTGTGTGTGTGTGTGTGTGTGTGTGTGTGTGTGTGTGTGTGTGTGTGATATATATATACTGGAAGCCCAATGCATGAGTTCATTTAGCAGTGGGGTCCCTTGGCCTGGCCTGTGGGATTGGGCCAAAACCGGTTCTCTGACATCTCCCTAGGGGCACCAGGTTTGCAAGAGGGCACAGGCCAGGCAGAGGGACCCCACGGGTGCACTATCAGAGCCAGGGAGGGATGCAGGAGGTTGGCCAGCTAGGAAGCGACCACTGGAGGGCTTTAGGGTGTGTCTTGCCTATCTCAGTCCTGATCAGCCGGATCCCAGCAGCAAGCTACCTACCAGTTGGTGCATCTGTCCACTGGTGGTCAGTGCACATCATAGCGAGTGGTTGAGTGGCCTTAGTATATCGTTAGCATATTATGCTTTGATTGGTTGAACAGATGACCGGACACTTAACATATTAGGCTTTTATTATATAGGACATTTGCTTAATACCTTCACCTTTTTAATCCAGCCCCCCAATACTCCTCCCTTCTGACAGTTGTCAGCCTGTTTAATGTATTCATGCCTCTGTTTTAATTTTGTGAAGGACCCAGTTTGTTTTGTTCATTAGAGTCCACATATAAGTGAGATCATATGTTATTTGTCTTTCTCTGACTGGCTTATTTTGCTTAGCATAAAATCTCCAGGTCCCTCCCTGTTGTCACAAAAGGCAAAATTTCCTTCTTTTTAAGCCTGAGTAGTATTCCATTGTATAAATACACCACAGCTTTTTTATTTACTCATCCATTGATGGACACTTGGGCTGTTTCCAGATCTTGGCTATTGTAAATAATGCTGCAATGAACATAGGGGTGCATATATTCTTTCAAATGAGTATTTGTTTTTTAATATATATTCCCAGAAATGGGATTGCTGGGTCAAACGTCAGTTACATTTTTAATTTTTTGAGGAAACTCCATACTGTTTTTCTCACTAGCTCCACCTGTCTGCATTCCCACCAAAGGTTTACTAGGGTTCTTTTTCTCCACATCCTCCCCAGCACTTGCTGTTTGTTGATAAATTGATAATAGCCATTCTGATAGGCATGAGATAATATCTCATTGTGGTTTTAATTTGTATTTCTCTGATGATTAGTGACATTGAGCATTTTTTCATTTATGAAATGGCCATTTCTATGTCCTCTTTGGAGAAGTGTCTATTCAGGTTCTTTGCCCACTTTTAAATTGCATTTTCTTGGTGTTGAGTTTATAAGTTCTTCCTTTTCTTGATATAAGTTCTTTTTATGTTTTAGAAATTAACCCCTTATCAGCTATGCCATTAGCAAAAATGTTCCCCCATTCCATGGTTTGCTTTTTCATTTTGTTGATTTTTTTTTTTTCTGTACAAAAGCATTTTAGTTTGATGTAATCCCATTTGTTTATTTTCTCCCCCTCCCCCTCCCCTTGCTCAAGGAGATACATCAGCAAAAATACTGCTATGAGAAATGTCTGAAATTTTACTGCCTATTTCTTATTTCTAAATTAAGTATTTGCTTTGTTTGAAAGGATGATAACCACCCAAGTAATTCTTTTTTTTTTTTTTTTTTTTTTTTTTTTTTTTGAATTTAAACGGACATTTATTAGAGAAATGCTAAGGATGGACACCTCACTGTAGCAGAACCTGTAAAATCCATTACCTAATTTTTTTTTTTTTTTAAATCAATCTTTATTGTTCATATTATTACAAAGGTTCCTCATTTCTTCCCCCCTCCACCAGGTTCCCACCCCACCCTCCGTCCCCCCCCCATTGTCCTCTTCCATAGGTGCAGTTTATGTTCAGTCTCTTCTTCCCTCAATTTCCCCAATAGTAAATCCCTTTTCAGATAGTAAATCAGTTATTTAGCATTTTCTCATGTCAATAATACCTCCACATGCCCAATGATACACTTCACACAAAAGACATTTCCCTCTAGGTCAACCAGCCTCATCCAGGCCCCACCCAAGGCACTCACAGATCAACACCCCAGTCCTAAACTAACTCAACACATCCAGATCTAAGCCTTCATCACTTGATTCAGCAGACCCTCAAGTTCCCACGAAAGTTTCCAGCCATGTCTGAGAAGCAGCCGTGGGGCAGGGGCAGGCAAGGAGCGAGCTGTTCTGGGCCTGGCTGCTCAGGGCCTGGCCTCTGTTGCTCTGGTTCATTCCACAATCAGCTGCTCCGGGTCTGGTCACTGCTGCTCCCGACCTAGTTGCTCTGGACTTGATTGCTGCTGCTCCGGGCCTAGCCGCTCCCAGCCTGGCAGCTGCTGCTCCGGGCCTGGCCGCACCCGACCCGCCTCTCCCCCGGGCCTGGCCGCTCCCAGCCTGGCAGCCGCTGCTCCGGGCCTGGCCGCACCAGCCCCGCCTGCTCCCCCGGGCCTGGCCGCTCCCAGCCTGGCAGCCGCTGCTCCGGGCCTGGCCGCACCCGACCCGCCTGCTCCCCCGGGCCTGGCCGCTCCCAGCCTGGCAGCCGCTGCTCCGGGCCTGGCCGCACCCGACCCGCCTGCTCCCCCGGGCCTGGCCGCTCCCAGCCTGGCAGCCGCTGCTCCGGGCCTGGCCGCACCAGCCCCGCCTGCTCCCCCGGGCCTGGCCGCTCCCAGCCTGGCAGCCGCTGCTCCGGGCCTGGCCGCACCAGCCCCGCCTGCTCCCCCGGGCCTGGCCGCTCCCAGCCTGGCAGCCGCTGCTCCGGGCCTGGCCGCACCAGCCCCGCCTGCTCCCCCGGGCCTGGCCGCTCCCAGCCTGGCAGCCGCTGCTCCGGGCCTGGCCGCACCCGACCCGCCTGCTCCCCCGGGCCTGGCCGCTCCCAGCCTGGCAGCCGCTGCTCCGGGCCTGGCCGCACCCGACCCGGCTGCTCCCCCGGGCCTGGCCGCTCCCAGCCTGGCAGCCGCTGCTCCGGGCCTGGCCGCACCCGACCCGCCTGCTCCCCCGGGCCTGGCCGCTCCCAGCCTGGCAGCCGCTGCTCCGGGCCTGGCCGCACCCGACCCGGCTGCTCCCCCGGGCCTGGCCGCTCCCAGCCTGGCAGCCGCTGCTCCGGGCCTGGCCGCACCCGACCCGCCTGCTCCCCCGGGCCTGGCCGCTCCCAGCCTGGCAGCCGCTGCTCCGGGCCTGGCCGCACCCGACCCGGCTGCTCCCCCGGGCCTGGCCGCTCCCAGCCTGGCAGCCGCTGCTCCGGGCCTGGCCGCACCAGCCCCGCCTGCTCCCCCGGGCCTGGCCGCTCCCAGCCTGGCAGCCGCTGCTCCGGGCCTGGCCGCACCCGACCCGGCTGCTCCCCCGGGCCTGGCCGCTCCCAGCCTGGCAGCTGCTGCTCCGGGCCTGGCCGCACCTGACCCGGCTGCTCTGGGCCCGGCTGCCCCGGGCCCGGCTGCTCCGAGCCTGGCCACTCCCAACCTGGATGCTCTGGGCTTGGCTACTGCTGTTCTGGGTCTGGCTGCTCCCACCCCGGCTGCTCTGGGCCCGGCTTCTCCGGGCCCGGCCACTCCGGGTCTGGGTGTTCCTGGACTGGCCACCCTGGGCTTGGCCGCCTCCGCCTCATGCCTGGCTGCCACTGCCCCAGGTCTGGCTACTCCAGTGCTGGCTGTTGA